AGTGGGGTCCCTCAGCCCAGATTGTGAGAGGGCGCAGGCCAGGCCGAGAGACCCCACTGGTGCACCAGGGCCAGGGAGGGACTCGGGAGGTTGGCCAGCTGGGGAGGGACCACAGGAGGGCTCCAGGGCGTATCCAGCCCCTCTCGCTCAGTCCCGATTGGCCAGACCCCAGCAGCAAGCTAACCTACCGATCAGAGCATCTGCCCCTGGTGGTCAGTGCACGTCAGCGGTTGAGTGGCCTTAGCATATCATTAGCATATGCTTTGATTGGTTGAATGGCCGACCAGACACTTAGCATATTAAGCTTTTATTATATAGGATAATTAGGGTTCCCAAAAGATTTGGTGTCTCTATCTTGACATACTTATCTGTATTTAAGGTCACCAAAAGGAACCAGTCTGTTTGGGACTGTGTTTTTTCCTTTTATGAGCCCTTTTCTTTCTACATGCAGTACTTATGTTTCTGACTTTATGCACAATTTTAGTTTTTCTCATTATAAGCTAAATCTTGGCCAATGGGGGAGACTCCCCGGCACTCCCTGACTGTCTGTATCAGTGATGGCGAACCTATGACGCTTGTCAGAGGTGACACGCGAACTCATTTTTTTTTGGTTGATTTTTCTTTGTTAAATGGCATTTAAATATATAAAATAAATATCAAAAATATAAGTCTTTGTTTTACTATGGTTGCAAATATCAAAAAATTTCTATATGTGACACGGCACCAGAGTTAAGTTAGGGTTTTTCAAAATGCTGACACACCGAGCTCAAAAGGTTCGCCATCACTGTTCTATATTAACAATTCACTCTTTAAAACACTGGACCCTTGTAATCTTATAAGAGTAAACGGGTGGAGGTCTCATCTTCTGTAGTTTCTCCTGCTGTTAAGGGGTGTAGACTGACCTATCTCCAGGTCCAGAGGTTCTTGCTATCTACTAAAGGGAAAAGGAGGTCAAGAATGGAGGGAAGTTCTTTACATGAGGGAGACAGATTGCTTTATTTGGAAGGTGGCATGTGTGGTGTGTAGAGGTTGGCACTGCTGAGCAAGTGAAGCTGGTAGATTGCTTCATATTTCAAGAGGTGGTGTTACAGATGGGCTTCAAAAGTGAGACCTATTGTGCAGACAAACAAGTGCTTGGTGAGGTGTATGACTAGTAGTGCCGGGGGGATTGTAGTGAAATCAGAAACTGGGAGAGTAAAGGATCCGCATAATCTAATCCTGATGACACACCACACAGTGGAATAAGTTTGGTCAGGAGGCCACTGTCTGGGAAGTGTGGACAAAGGTGTTATCAGTCCAAGCGTGGGCATAAAGCATAACGATTGTCAAAAACTCATAAAATGAGAAGTAACATCATCACTTAGTTCTGAAAGGCACTGCTCCTTTCCGAAAGAGGAATTTAAAATCCTCTTCAGAAGTGCGGGCCCAGCTTTCCCTTGCAGTATCAGCAGCAGCAGCAAAATCTAAGTCCTCCTCAGGTACTGCTTGTCTTGACTGTGTGTGGTGGACCCAAGGCTTTGTTGTGGAGCGCGAGCGACAGAATGACCAGAACTCCAGACTGATTACAATTAGAGAGCCTTTACTGACTGGCCAGTGTCCGCTCCTCCACTCGGGAAGCCCAAGAGAGAAGGGGCCCCGACCATCTGCAGAGTCCAATATTTAAAGGGGACAACTACATCCGTGCTCAGGTTCCCATAGCAAGCAAAGCCAAGTTACAAAAGCTAATTACGTAGTTTTAGCCAAGCTGTTCATCATCCTCCTGTTATTCATTTCTGGGTAACTTAAAGGTCAGGACTATTCTTCATTTTGATCTGTCTGTTCTTTGTAGGCCGTTGCTCAGGTGTGTTGATCTGTTTGTTCTTTGTGGGCCGTTGCTCAGGTGTGGGAGCTCAGTTCCTAGAAACTTTGCACAGGCTGTCAAGCTGCTGAGGTGGCTAGGTAATTAAGCAGGCCTAAAAATTGTCCTACTCTGTAACAGCTTGATTCCTGTGAGCTTGAGGGCAGTGGTTCTCAACCTTCTGGCCCTTTAAATACAGTTCCTCATGTTGTGGCCCAACCATAAAATTATTTTCGTTGCTACTTCATAACTGTAATGTTGCTACTGTTATGAATCGTAATGTAAGTATCTGATATGCAGGATGGTCTTAGGCGACCCCTGTGAAAGGGTCGTTCGACCGCCAAAGGGGTCGCGACCCACAGGTTAAGAACCACTGCTTTAGAGGAAAGTGTGTTGTCAGCAGGATTGCATAGGGACCAGTCCATTGCTTGGTTAACTGCTGTTCAGGACCTTAAGCTTCCAGGTCTTTAGTAAGACTCAGTCTCCCAGCTGGAACGGTATAAGGGCTCATCAGAAGAGTAGGATAGATCTGCAACAAGCAAACTTGTGCAAAGTTGTTAGTGCTTGCCCTAAATGTTGTACGTAGTGTTTGACTTTTTTATTCATATTCTAAATCCAAAGTGGATGTTCCTAAAACAGAATTTTGGAAGGGTCTCCCATAAACTATTTCAAAAGGGCTTTCTTTGAGGCCATTATGGGGTGCTATTCTAATCTGGAACAAGGTAATAGGGAGAGCCTGGACCCATTTCAAATGTGTTTCCTGGCATATTTTCACCAACGTCTTTATTGTATGGTTCATTTTCTCAGTCTCCCTTGTAGGTTGGGGTCTCCAAGATGAATGTAGTATTCATTGACTCTGTAGTGCCTCTCCTATCTTCTGGGAGATTCTGAAGTGAACGTGTCTATTGTCACGTTGAATGCTGTAAGGAAGTCCAAACCTAGGGATTATTTCTTTGAGTAGAAGTTTTGCAACCTCAGTTGCCTTCTCAGTTCTAGTGGGGTATGCCTCTACGCACCCAGAAAAGGTGTCTACAAAATCTAATAAAAATTTAAAGTTTCCTATGTTTTTAGGCGTCTGTATAAAGTCAACTTGCAAGTCCTCAAGCAGACATATCCCTTTATATTGTACTCCCTTTCCTGTTGGGCATTTTCTGTTTGAGGATTGTTTTTTGAGCTTATCTGACAAGCTTGGATAGTCTTTTGAATGGTCCTTTGTAATAAAGACCCTTCAGATGTGCTATGTT